CTATGTGTTGAGGTGAACACTTTTTTTCCCTTGAGTAAATTTATAAGTAGCAAACACCTTATATCTGGAAATACTAAAAGAATATTTTTTTCTTTCTAAGTCTAAGCTTACCATTAACAGCATTCCCATAGACCTATACTTTATTCTAGCTGCATTTACTGGGTTCATCAGCTAATAAAACCACGTGGGTTGTAAATCTTTCAGGTAATCACCAACAGCGCTTACATTAGTTTGGAAGTTATAAGAATAAATATTCATAGCTAATCATGTTCTCCATCAGCAATTCCATTCATTTTACTGTCTTTAAGAACAAGCTTACAGTTTCAAGGGAACTTCTGTCATTCTACCTTGTTTTAGCCTGCTAAAAACCTAGACTTTCAGTGGAGCATATTCAAGTCCTGACAGAGTCTTTCATGAGTTAATATTGCTAAAACAATACTCACATTTTTGGGTATCCCAGATGTAGTTGTTCAGGACCTCTCCCAGCAAGTAGGAAATGTTAATTATTATAGTAACAGCTACAAAAAAGATTATTTTGACACCTGGGCTGAGGTACTCAAGAAGTGGGTACACCCACACTCCTGTAACATGGTGAATCCAGCACACCCTGAAACAGAACAAAAATGACAAGTACTGACTATTACAGCCCTGTTTTTCAAAAGTAGCTTCGGTTGTACACTTAGATACCTAAAATCAATTATTTGAAAAGACTGCAAGTTGGAACCGAATTTGACTTTGTTGGACACCTGGGATGATACCCTTCCAGAACCAAGATCATAAGTGATGAAACTAAGACTGATCTCCTGCAATCTTACTGCATTTTCTTTTAATTTAACCTCAGCTGTTGGCCATTTCAGGTTCTGCAGCTTGCCTCAGTGAAGACAAATTGCTGATGTATTTCTTTGCCGCATTCATGTTTATTTACAAAGAATATACACTCTAGTTTCATACAGTAGCACTGAAACAGCAGCACACTCAATTCCAAGCAAGTTCTTTACCCTAAGAATATTCCCTGTTCTCAAGGCCGTCCCACACAACCAGATTCTCTGCTTTCTGGAGTGTCTTTGTTTCCTCTTTGTATACATTTGTGTGATTCTGATGCTTTTGCTCTCCTCACCTGGCAAGTGCCTCAGTTTTCGGGCTTGCCAGAAAAATAAGGTTCAGCTTCTCTTTAAGAGAATGATTTAACTTCTTCAGCATCTGTGTTTTAGGTTGCTCCTCCTTTTCTCTCAGTCACCTGATATCATTTGGGATCTAATCGTTTTTCTCTAGACAGGATAAAGAAAAAAAATCAAGTCCTACCACCTCAGTGAAATTATGCCCAGCTCCACATTCAATATACAGTAAAGGAAAAAGAATTATGCTGATTTGCTGGTGACAGAGATTTGTAGTGTTCAGACACAGCGGAGACCTCAGGCACACTAATCCAAAAGACAGTGTATCAGCTTTAATGCAACATGGTCTGAAGAAGTGCTCCAGGTACGTGGTTTCTCTGTGTATGATTCCAACGGACATGACCATGGTTGGTGGTGCATGTTCAGCTGTACTCTCTGAAAGGATGGGCTTTGTGTTGAAACCCAAAATGGTGAGCATAGATGCCAGAAGAAAGCAGAGACAGTCCATATAACGAGAAGCTATAAAAAGTAAAAGGATTCAGCTGCCATGCAATAGAGCAAACATCAGAGGCCAGCTGGGAAAGGTACTCAGTGGAGATCAGCCTGGGGCCTGTAAGCTGCTAGGCTCTCTGTAAGAATATAAATCAGCTCCTTTCTGATCTCGTCATTTGGTGGGGAAGCTTACAGTGAAACACAGCTAGAGAGAAGACTAAGCAGGTGTACAGAATCGCTGTTTAGTGATTCTCCCTTACCCTGGAAATGTACATGGTTGTCATAGCTTCCTTTCTCCTCAGAAAAGCTTTTATTACAGCCAAATCCTTAACAGTTGGACACTTCATGTAGGAATTTGCACGTGTCAGTAAGTTGATCTGCATGATCTAAATGCCGATTAAAACTTCTTTCTCTGAAGGAGAAACATATGGAAAACGATCTCTGCACTTGTTTACAGTTCATTTTTTTACAGCATCATTCTGCCAGAATGAACATCTGACAAGATAAGGGTAGCCACGAAGAAACAGTTACTGTGTGACCCATGGTAACAGGATTTAACGTGTTCCACTTGATCACAGAAAAGGATGGGATAGCTGGGTAGAAAGTCATGAGATGTCCTCTATTCCCAGGCTGTCGTTACTGGGAGTGTCTATTACTGTCTAACGTTTTTCAGTTCATTTGCTTTTGTTTTATGATCTTTTTGTGATAAATAAGCTCCAAGGAAAAAGCTTTGGGGGGAAAAAAAAAACCACTGTGTTTCTTTTTCACTTCTTTTTTTTTGGCTTGGTGAAACTGTCCAGCAGCACCTCTAGAGAGGGACTTTTGAAGTGAGTTTCTAAATTGCACCTGTGTGCTCAAGCTCATGAACTAAGTAGAAGTGACATTTACTAGAATGCATTTATGTTGGAAAGACGAAATATTTTCTAAATCCAACAAATGAGTCACTAATGAGTTCCTGAATGTCAGCTATGTCTTGCTAGTTCAGAATCTTTGAGTCCATTTTATGAATTCTATTCTTTGGGGGCCAAAATGCTAGCCCATGATTTGTTTGGTAATAGTGCTCGTGTTTTCAGTGTAGCTGTTGTATGCCTGTCACCAGAGCAGCCACAATGTAGAGGAACTCGCATGATGAGAACAAAAAGTACCAAGTGCCACTCAAGAGACAAAGGTCACAAACCCACCCGACCGGCCACCTTGATCTTCCTTTAAATGAGCTAAACCACCCAGCTCACTACATTTGGATAGACTAATATTAGACTTCTCTCCACTGAGCAGTAACACAATGACTATTCCTGCATTGTCTGTATCACGAATGGGAACAGCAAAAGTACGATTGCTACCATGGAAACCTTACCTGATGGCCTTTGTTAGCGCGTTCATTCCTACTTGAATACAAGCTAACTCAACGCCGCACAATAAAGGGCTGATCAACTGCAGGCATAAAGCTTCCATACAAGGCTACTGATTACTAATGTTAATGAATGCCTTCAACATGGCAATTCTAGTAGTCATTATTCTTGTCCAACCTCATTATTAGATAAGCACAGGGGAGCGTGCATTAAGGTTTACTTTGGAGTGCAAACCTAGATCCAATTTAAGAGCCTGTTATTGAGCAGGTTTAAAAAGTGTCGTTCATATAAAAATATTCTAAGGAGAAAAAGTTTAAACTAAAACTGGAACAACTACCTTTCAGCAGATAAAGTTAACATAGAATCTCCCTATGTTTTGGTCCTGTGATAGCCTATGTAGACTGATGACACAGCAGTGAGTTTCTTTTCAAAGATGAATGTGTTACAAGTTGCGGAGATAATTTTGCCAATTACTAGAGCTGGTAAGAGCAAGGAGTAGAAATATTCCTGTACTATATACAAAAGTAAAATGTTGGTTAAAAAAGTGGTGATATTTGGAAATGAAAATTTCAACTAGCTTGTTCAGAAATTCAAAAAAAAAAATTGAAAACATGCTATTGCTTCTTTTTGAAAATCTCTTTTACTTTGGACATCCAAAACTTGGTTAATAAGGACAAGCAACTACTTCAAAAAATGCGGGAACCTTATGGTTTGTGTGTGCTCTACCTGCCACTTTGGGTAATGCAACTATTAAAACAACATGTGTGAAATCTAGCCATGGTACAAGCAAGCTCAACAGGTAGGTATCATGGTAGATAACCATGATGTCAGAAAAGTTTTGCAATGGGAGCCATCCCGCAGAAAGTGGTTGCTTCTTCATGATGGCTGCTCTCAACTGCATAATTTTGAATACACCTGCAGAGGCATCACAACTTGCTGGCCCTTTGTGGACTGAACTCTGAGAGTTTCCACCTGTTTCCTGCCCAAGCCAAGTCCTTTGACTACATCTGTAGCAAGACAACAATCAGTTCTAAGTGCTCTTGGTGGATACAGAGAGAAAATAGGAACTATTAGATGAGGGGCTGTTTAACTTGTAGAGATCAGTGAACGAGAGGGGTCAGAATAATAATAAATGTCATAAAATGGCTGAAGAGATCCAAATGCTCTTCCTCATAAAATAAGAAGCACTTCAGTGGAGTTCAGAGAGAAATACCTTTTGGCGTGATGCCCAATTAACTTCTGGAACTCTCTACCCCAAGATACACTGAAACCAAGATACTTAACAATCCTAGACTGCAAGTTTGGGAGGACCTCATGCTTCTGTGTAGTTCATTCCTCTGCTCTGGGCAGTATCACACATATCTAGCATGTTTCTGAAGTCAGAAGACTGTACAAACAATAAGAACGTGTCTCCCAAAAGAGGTGATGAGCTTACAGCTGCTAAGTCATTAAAAACTCAAGTGAATGAATCATTTGTGGTTATAGTGTAGGGACCAACTCTAAGCTTTCAGAAGTAGGAGCGCAATGACCCACACTAAATCTGTTCTGTTTTGGATTTCTAATACTGATTGAAGTGACGTGAGGGACATTTTCAGAAAGTCTCTTCTTTTACTTCCCCAAAATCTAGAACATTTTATTCTGCATCTAATTAGAATTGTTAAGTTCTCAGCCATCTTAAGATGCTGGGCTCCTTATAATTCCAGCTAGGCAGGCATAAGTCACCTACACTTGGAAAATATACTGTTTAGAAATTTTAAATACTAAAAAATAAGTTTAATAAGCAGTCATTACTTAGAAAATAACAGTAATCACCCCATCTTGTTCCAGTTTCTCCTGATGGATTCTCCTCCACCAATCTGTATGATGCTGAACAATAAAATGGGGTGTGAGACTGGGCTACCAGTATGGAATGGCTTAAGCAGTTGGAAGAAGACAAGTCCTGGAAAATTGCAGCTGCAAGTAATGTTGGATGCAAAATATACTCAGCATGACATGATGCTGAGTAGGAGGTACATCCTCTAGGATGAACAAAGCTTATCAGAAACTTGTGTTTATGTACAGGTAGCTAAAATGACAGAGACTCTGCAGATTAACTGCAAGGTATTGTCGTCACGGGAAGTCATCTATTTGATAAGTCATATTTAATTTTAAATATACTAATGGTTGCTGTGCCTTCTTGAGCTATATTTTAAGGAACTGCACAAGTAAGTGAAAATGTACTATCTATGCATGTCATCTGTGATTTTACTGTTACTTTGACTGAAACATTTGAGGAGGTGGAGGGGAGCCAGAATGTAACAGTCCGTTATTGCTATGTCAGACCTCTTCAAGCTGAGGATCCCTGCAGCCTTCTCTTGCTGAAACCTCTTCTGCTCTCCCACTCTCTTCCTTGGTCAGGCACAGGGGATGCTAATCATCTCCTGGCCTAATTCTGCTGCTTCTACCTCTTCCTACTCTTTTCTGTTCTGAGTAGTGCTGGCTCCAACTCTTTTCTCCTCCTCTGCATTGTCTCATCTATCACCCACTTCTCCATCAACCTTCCACTCTGACTTCAAAGCCTGTCTCTCTCTTTCCTGTCCTAGCTTTTCCCACTTACATGCATGTTTTCAGCTTTCAAGCAGTTGCACATTTCCTTACCCATATTTGCTTTTAATCCATGGTTCTAGTTCATCTCTTTTACTTGCTTTTAGAACTTTTCACCTGGTTTTCCCCAACCACTGATTCTCTATTGAATTTCCCTCTCCAGTGGTCACCTCCCAAAAGCATTGATAGTCCCCTCCCTAAGTACAGACACTTGGCCATTCTGTGCCTTCTCCTCCATCTGCATCAATCACTCCTCTTCTCAGCCACTTCAGAAAGCCTTTCGATTTCTTTACCAAAATGGCTGTCAATTCTCACCATGTTTCACACTCTCTCTTCACTCTTGTCTTCTGAATTTCAAGGTTTGTCCTAGCAATCTACAACCCTATCCCTTTTCCAACATCTGCTCTTTCTGATCATCTCCTATGGAGAAACTCTAGTGGGAATTCTACAACAAGGTTGACAGCATCTATTTTAAATTCATTCCAAATTTTCACAGAACTTAGATTCTTTCCTTAAATTCACTCAAGAAGTATTCAGCACATTACCTCATTTAAATGCTTTCCCTCAGCAAATCTACAGACCTTTTTAGAGTCACTTATAAGAGAAATCGTATTTTCAAATTAAAGTTTAAAGGTACCTGAGCTGCTTAAATTGTTTTATTAAAGAACGAAAGAATGAATCAAGTCCAAGCTTGGCACATGGAGAGGCAACTGCTGTTGGATTTGAGATAGAAAACAAGAGAGCAGGTCAAGTTTTTTTTGCTCCCAAACACGTAGCCCAGCATAACTAAAGCAGCCGAGTCAGATTCTTAGGGTCTGGTTATTTGGCACCCTCAAGAGCTCAAAAGCAGAAGGAACAAAAAAGCCATTTTAACTAAACCTATTTGTCTCAGTTTATTTTAGGGACATATTAGGCTCTGATATTAGTTGCCATGAGGTCATTCTTGTTACAAGGACAACAGAGTTCTGGCTCTTTTCTGTTCCTTGACAACCAACTCCATATACCCATTGGCAGTATTTTCTGGTAGTATTGGCAAGCTCTTGGGTTTTCTTAGCACTGTCTAGATTTAACAATTCAATACAAATTGTGACCTTTTCAAGCCATGCTAAATAAAGCCAATTGGCTTTTCCCATCTTATCCCATGGCCTTGGTCCTGAAAGTCCATGTATGGTGTGCAACAGGCAGTGCTAGTCTGTGAATGTTTTGCCTGGGCACAGTTCCTTAAGAGTAAGGGAGAAATCTCCCTCACAGAGAGTAAATGAGCTAAGCGTGCCTGCTCAAATGCTCTCCTAAGGGACAGAATGTGAAAAAAAAAAAAAAAAAGAAAGAAGAAAAGGTTTTACTCTTCAGGAAAGGCTTTATCTCAGCTAACATGTCTCTGAATAATACTTGGGATATCAAACTATCTAGCTATGTTCTTCCTACTTTAGCGAATCTATTCAGAATTGTTGGCTTGTTTTCTCATTTATGAAACACATAGAATAAAAGCTCCCTATTCCACCATCCCTTCCATACATGAAAGATTCAGGCATGTAAGAAATAAAACATAAGCTTTCAGAGCTTTTCCAAATCACAGTTGAAAAAAAATTCATTAACAAACTCAAGCCTAAACAATACCCTCCTGTATGCTCCTTTATAGGGCAAAGTGTGACTTGATACATAAATCATGTAGAATGGTCTGAAGGTTTCACTTGAGGTGGGGAGTGCACATGCACAAAACATGGAGAACATCTGATTAGCAACTGTCTCCATTTTATCCTGAGACAGTTTCAGTGAAAACGCTTCTGCTGAGGGAAGAATTACAAAGGAAGAAGGAAAAACTGTCAAGCAGCAGACCTCAAAGGTAAAAAAACAACAACCCCCCCCTCCCACCCAAGAACTAAGCACCAGCTGGGGATCCACAGACAACCAAAGATACAAAGGAAGACAGTTCCACAGTGGTGTTATGTAACCAGGTCATTTGCAGGTGTAGTCTCAATTTTAATGCACTGTGCTAACCTTGAAGGGTCAAAAGGATACACCACTAAGGGCAACAAATCCTAATTAAATAACTCCAAAATCTAAGTGAACGAGATCAGTACTTCAATGTGGTTACTTGGCAGCAGGAAGACAGTGAACTTTAGCTGTGAAAGGTAGGCTCACACTAAGAGAGAGAGATGAAAAAAACACTTTTCATATTTTCTGGTAGATTTCCCCAACCTGTAAACATCAGGTACACTGCAGTGACACAAGTGAGCCATGACTGACATGTGGCCTCAGTCAAGTATTAGATAGAGCCTTCAATAACACTTTAATTTTGAAGATGTGCAGAGTTTGCAGATGACGGCAGAGTCCATGTCTCCCTCCGGTCCTACCAAAAGATCTCCTTCCATAAGAACGGAAGGAGACATCATAGACTGTAACCGCAAAATTTAGCAGGATGACTTTCAGATCTGAGAAAAAATTGTCTCAGATCATCTTCTGAGAAATCACAGCTTGGAAGAAGGCAAATCACTTGAGAGTAGTTCTGTCCTCTTTGGAAATATCTTTCAGGTAGATAAAACTAATAAACAGTAAAAACAAAGGTAGATGATAGGAGAATGTAACTGGTGTCCACTTAGTTAATTTTTTAATGCATATTCTATTCCCTCCTTTTTATTTGTCCTACAGCCCTTCCACCCTCTACTTGTAGCTGTAAGATTTAGATGCACTGTAGCAGGCAGCATCAAGACATATGTGCCCTTTCAAATTACTGCTTTCAGCAAGAAGTTTTTTGATATCTGGAAAAGTATACATGGTCCACTGTGCTGTGTCCCCATTCATACATAGTAAGACAACTGATCTGTAGCCTATGATATCATGATGTGGGTGATTCAAGACAATCCCTAGCATTACAGGTCAGTATAAATATAAGTGCACAAGCCATTGGAGAGAAAAATTTTCTTCCTCACACTGAATTCTCCTCACACTGATACTATTATAGCTTCTTGGAAAAATTTAAGGACACCCTTGTTTTTATTTCCCTTACCTAATTGGACTGCTTCAATGTTCCATTCCTCTGCAATACTTTTCCACGGATCTACTCAGGTGATTTTGAGAGAACAGGAATTGCCATACTAGAACAGAACACTGCTACGATAACTCTGCCATCCTGCCTCTAGGCACCATCAGAGGAAGGTGGAGAAATATCACAGTTGTGCATTATTATACATGGATTTAAAAAATTTCCTTTGCCTTGATGGATGAGATTGTCCTTATCTTACCAACTGCAATTGCAAATATTGTTCTTTCTTAAGAATGGCATATATGTTTGTAGAACTAAATGCAGAATCTGAGTAGTGTCGTGGGATACAACATCTGATTTCAGCCGGACTATCATCGTTTTATGATCACTCAATGTGTGTTGATGTGCATCTATAATGGCCTCTATTTCATAGGACAAAAGGGGCAAGTCACATAGTTGAGGCAGTATGACAGTACTGTCTTGAGCCTGCGTTCCTCTCTCATTAGTCTGACCTTACTTGACTTGAAAAAGCAATATTATCCATAGTTTTGGAAACTGTCATCTTAGCTGAGGGAAGGTTGTTGTGAAGTGAGAAGAAGGGATATGAGAAGAAATAAACAGGAGGTCATGAAAGGTTTCCAGACAGGATAAAAAAAAGTTTACGGTATCAAAGGAGCATTGTCAACAAAACAAAGGTTTAGTAAAAAATAAAACGCCAGAATGACTAAAGTAAATTAACTCTGTTAGGTAAGTCAGGTGCTTGAATAGAAACTCGGTCCCAAAGACCAAATTTAGTGCTGTATAAAAAAGATTATTTCTGTTTAGTTTAATTTTTCACAAACATTTGCATCCTTTAAAATAAACTGCAGAGAGTTTAGATTACTGGCTTATTCTGTAATCAATTTTACAGAAAGAATTTATGAACTAGTAAAGAAAAAAGACAGCATTCTATCTTTTCTGTTGTGCCTTAAATACTGATGCAGGAAATCATTTGCCTATTCTCAATTTTATTTGATAGAACAAAAACCCTAAGCAATAAAACTAAGGTCCAAGAAAAACATTTAGCTTGAAAAAAGGTTGAAAAATGTACCCTTGGAAAGACCACTGCTTACATGGGATTGTTCAACAAATTCCTGTTGTGTGAGGTTTGGCATATACTTTCTAAAAATATAAGCATCTGGGGAAACCAGACAAAGCCCAGGTCTTGGACGAAACAAGGCATGCAGTGTGGATCTGTTAGTGATTATATCCATAATGAAATATGTGCCCAAATTTAGCAGTACAAAACCCCCAATACAACATGAAAACACAGTGTGTACAGTCCTTACCATAAAATATAGCCAACAGCAAAGGTGCATACTGCAGCCAGTCCACAGCTCCTGCTGGGATACTGATGATGTGTTGTTCTCATCTCGATTAATATAAAGGGCAAAACTGTTGTATGCTAAAAAACCAAAACAACGGGGAAAAAAGCAGGTGATACAAACGATTCTCACTGCATTTCCATATTAGTTCTACAATAAGAAATGTAATTACAAAAAATTCAACACAATTTCTTGATCATTAGAAAGAAAAGGCAAAATGAGTCTCTAAAGCAGATCAATAACCCAAATACTTAATATTGCCTTTATGCTGTCCAATTGTTTGAGAGAGCAGAGGAAAATTAAGCAAGCAGAATGCACTTTTCATTTTGGCCAGAAATCCAAGGAGGGTATTCAGTAAGTAAAAACAGAACATGGCACTAGGGGACAAGGGACGCAGTCCCAGTTCAGCCTTGCAATTGCTCTGCAATCTTTGCCGTTCACGACCCTTAATTTTGACCATACAAGTTAGGGGGCAAAACATCTGATTTGCAAGGCTTTAGGCACAAACAAAGCCAAATGAATGAATATAAATGATGCTTCTGAGAATTAGGCTACATGTCTCTCAATCTGTGGACCTGAAAACAGGGACATATTTTCGGATTATAGTCACAATACCTCTGTTCTTCCATCTGTAAGACAGGAGCAATTATCTTCCTCAGAAAGGTGATGTGAATCTTAATTTGTTAGTTGTGTGCAAAATGCTTTCAGATTCCCAAATGAAACATATGAAAGCCAAGGCTGTAAAAACCCTTTTCTGCCACTTGTCTTTATTTAGCTGTGAAAGTCCTTATTTTGTCATTTTTCCATACACTTCTCCTACACTGCCCCTTCTGAGAAGGTCTGTTCATCCAATTAATGTCAGCAGCATGAAAAATTGCATTTAGCCTGCCCCCAACACTTGATGTCTAGATTTCTGAATGCTGGCAGGCATGAAAATATACATAAGTGAAGCACAGACATGTCAGGAAACCCCTCCTCCCCATCATTTTTGCATATACAGCTCAGCTAGAACTGACATTATTGGTGACTCTGGAAACACATACTGCTTTGCCAGCACGGGGCCAAATGATCGCTGGTGTATCTCTGTCAGCTTTCAAGGAGTTACTCTGGTTGAGAACTTGGCCCTGAAATTACTGTGACTGTGCACAGAAATCTCCTGCTGTGTTCAGTGGGAGGTCTGCAGGTGCAAGGATTGCAACAGCAGCCTAAGCCATAAACCAGGTTCAATCCTTTCCTAACACTGGCTCACAAATTGGAAAAAATATCATTGCTTAAGGCCACATTCTGCCATCAGATGTGCACGTGTAGTTCAGGGGGAGCTGGAGGGCCGAATTTGTAAGAATAACACTGAAAGTCCACTGAAATTTTAACCAACAGGAAGGCAGGATGGGCACAAAGTAGAAATATCCTTGTGGGGTAATGGGTCTAAATGAGACAAAGCAGAGCAGGGGTTCTGAGCCTTTAACAACTGTGGAGAAAGAAGAATTGTTTGAGCGGGAAAGGATAAGATAATGGAAATGCTCCGGTTCATAAATGTAACATGATTTGAATTGGATAACTGCTCTGATTTTCAATACATTAGTAATTAATGACTAGCATTTGGAGAATGTCAGGTGGATAATACAGCAGTTAGGGGAGCTTTCAATTTCTTCCTCTTTTAACAATTTGTTCCGCCCCTATTCCTTTAAACAGTATAAATCATCATCAAGGGAATGCAGAGATGTTTTACGTGTGGTCTGTGATAGAGATGCCCACTATTAGTAGAAAGGTCTATTAACTGAGCAATACCTTCAGAGTCCATTAACAGGGGCTGACAGTAAGGCAAGCCCTGGAGATTCACTTGTAAGTCTTGCATCTGTACAAAAAAAGGTCTTTAAGCAGAGATCAGTACCTCACTCTATATACCCCTCAAAAGCAGTGTTGCTGGAGGCTGTGTTAAATGTCTCCTGCTCTGGCTCCATAATCTCTTTAGGGAAAAAAAAAATAGAAAGCAACAAAGACTGTTAACTCTAAAAACCACCCTTGGTATTTCTTCCATGATGTATGCTTGTGATCCAGTCCCTAAGTCTTAACTGCTCACTATAAATATGATAGTTACAGGGGTTGTGTACAGTATTTCTCAATTGAAATCTGCTTGCCATTTTAGACACTACTTGTTGATGCGTTCTTCATTGACAATAATAACCCAACAGTGTTCAAGTTAAAAAGTAGCTAAAATCATTTCAATAACTGTCCCCTAATCTTGAGCCCTTTTCTCCCCTCCCCATTTTCTGTGGTTACACAACAAAAGAGGTGATTATTTTCCTAAATTCTCCCTTACGCTGTTTTCTAAAAGGCAAGATAATGAGCTATATCGCTGAAGAATTTATGTACAAAATCCTGTCAAAAGCATAGTGCAAAGTGTAAGGAAAGCAGAGACATATATCTTTAATCTCAGTCAGTTACAGCAAATGCAGCTGCTACCTGCAAGCACTGCAGTTTTAAAAATCCAGAGTATGAATTTTTGTTAAAAATGTTCTTGTGAAACTGCCACTTGAAAAAACGGTTTCAGACGCTTTACCCAAACTACAACAAAGACACTATTTCCTTCTCCTACACAGTCCCTCCAGAAACCTTAATTTAACAATCATGAAATTTTGTAAGCAGGGATACCTTCTGTCTAACAGCGCCATTTAAAACTCTGGAGCTATGAATACTAGATTTGAATCAGACTGGCATTTGGACTAGTGCCTGGTAAAGGTGAGTAGGGGTTAAATGTGCTTGGAGTGGGATCCGTCAGGACTGGGAAAGCTGCAAAAGGCCAGAAATTTCATACCATCTAACTTTTTTACCATCTGATGTCTGAATAAACTTGGGCCATTTGGAATCTGATGCTTAGAGAGAAAACAGCATTGGCGCTTTCTTGAACTGTTTGTTAAAGATCATGCCATGCTGACCAGAGATGCCTGCTTGGTGTTTCTGGGACTGATCCCCTTTACTTACTGGCAGGCTAGATAAGGTCATGGGAAGAACAGCACAACATTTCTCACTTTGTTTGTCAAAGTATCTCCGCAGGCTTACTTGAGAGAAGACTAGGAATGAGGTGGTTCAACTAATACGAAGGTTTAAATGATGGGAACGATTAGCCACTGTAACAGCTTTCCAGAAGCAGTTACTCTTCATCATTTAAAGTCTTTAAGAAAAGGGCTTGTTTCTAATAAGGGTATAATCACTAGTATAGTACTATGATACAATAGTAGTAAACTATACTAGTACTACTAAACTATGCTATATTGTTCAGGCATTTGTACTATGAGCTAAGTATCTATAAGGAAAGCTGCATCTTTACCTGGATAGCTTATTCTAGTCCCGTTGAAACCAGCTGCTCCTGTAAAAGACAGTTTTGCCTGTGTCACTGCATGACACTAGACCTGTGTGAGCAAAGTAGTGGTACGTCAATAAAGCTTTTGCAGCCAGGTATTGGAGCACCCTCTCTATCAGCTGAGAAGGCAAAACTCGTTCCCTGAGTGCTCAGCATGTTAGTGCAGCGCCGAGGAAGCTCCTGAGCCCTTCCTTTAGCAGGGCCTTCCAGCTTGCGCTCGGTTAACTGTATCCGCTTGCAAGAAAACATACCCTGTTGGCTTCTCACGCTGCGACCGTCGTGCTGCCTGTCAGGCTGTCCTCCAGCCCTCAAACTCCTTTTGCTCCTGCGTGTGAAAGGCAGTGACCCTCTTACTCATTTTTAATCCCTCTCTGAAGTGTTTTGGCTGCCAGGACTATCGTGTGAGCTGAAGTACTGTGGTAAGCTCCCATTAACCAACCACTGCGTCGTCCTGCTCTGATCCTGAGTGGCAGTTTGCGCCCAAATCACTATCTGTCCCTGCAGTCTGCGATCCAGCAGGGTCTGTCACCTCCATCGCAGCATTTCCTGCAGCTCACTGAACCTCCTTGTCACTTCAAGAAGCAGATAAACTGTTTAGCAACACTCCAAAGGAAATTTCTCATTTCTGGGCTGAGACAGACTTGGTATATGCTGTTTCAAACATACCTTCATGTGATCAAAATATACATTCACTGAAATAGGACACTTTAATTATCACAGATCTTTACAATGAAAGATAAAACTGAAAAATGGCATGGCAAAAATGAATGGCATAGTCATGTGCCATTCATTCTGGTCTGGTCTTTTTGCTTGCAGAGAACCCTGCCAGCTATGTGGAGACCCTGCAAGCTATATATATGGAGAGTGTGTTGGTGTGTGGGTGGGGGGGTGGGTGTGTATCTCCATATATACATATATATATAAATCACCCTAGCTTGCTAAGTCTGCTAGTCCACACATAGAGGAGCAAACTGCAATTTCCTCCCCATTTTGTGTCCTCCGCACAGTGCAGCTTCCTGACGTCCAGTCACTTACATATGGGTAAGGGCACAGAAAGCTCTCGGCTTGCATGGGCCACATCGGACCAAATTAGGAGGCAGTGAGCTTGCACAGGTGGGCAGGAAATTTGGCATGCTGAATCTTCAAATGCTGGTCAGGATGCATGAAGATTGAGAGAAACTGGCTTGACTCTTGGAGTCCAGGTGGAATTTGCAAGATATCATACAGATAACTTGATACTGAAAACACTCAGGGGATTATAACCAAAGGAGCAACTTCTGAGTGAAGCTGAATTACCATACGCTGCAATAAACTACCCTTAGAGCTGCAGGCAGATTTGTTCTTAGAACCACTGCAATTGCTCCTGAGAGAAACTGTGCTCAAAAGGCATATTCATTAATGGTTCTTTAAAGGATAATTTTAAAACTTGTACCACCCTCCTTATGGTATATATGTGCCTAATGAAATTTTAAACTGGAAAATCGTATAACAAATGGGCACATCTTTGTCAGCTTAACAAATTGAGTTTTGATGGAGGACTGCACTTTCCCATTTTCAGGTATATACTGCAACAGGTAGTCGGAAGAAAAGATTTTATGCAAATCAAGTACATTAAGAATGGGTTCTGTAACAGTCTTTAGACAAATTAAATACTCACTTTTGAAAGCCTGATTATATGTTTTATCTTCCAACCAGTAAGTGCTGCTTTTTTTAACATTA